CCCCCCCCCCCCCCCCACACACACTTCCCTCCTGGCTGGCTACATCGTGGGTGTGCATCTCCCACACCCCCGGGCCCCGCCGCGCCTGCGACTTGAAGATGCCTCCGGCCAGAGCGCCCGCGCCCATCACGTTGAGCATGTCGTCCTCGCCGCGAAAGTTGAAGGCGAGGGTCTCGAAGGTGGAGAACATCATGCCGAGGCAGCCGACCGAGTTGCCCAGCCCCGGCCCGTGCTTGCCCGTCGCGTTAAGCACCGCATTGATCCGGATCCGCTGCCGCTCACCCGTAGACGATTTGAGGCCCTCGTACAGGCCCCAACTGCCGCCCGCCACCAGCCCTGACGCGGCGGCGCGGTGCGCTGAGCGGGCGAGGCGGGGCGGCGGCGGCGGCGAGTGCACTGCGAGAGGGCGATCGAAGGCGACAGAGGGCGCAGCCGCTCGCGTGGGATGGGTGGGCCGCACCGACGAGGTAGCCAACACCGATGTGGTAGGTCAGGCGGTCGCCCCACGACCGGCGGTACATGGCATCCGCCGTCTCCTCAAACAGGAAGTCCGGCTGTTGCAGCGGCGCGGCGCCAGGCGCCGGCGTGGTCCAGGCGGAGCCAAACGCTGGGCCCAGCTTCCCGAACTCGACGCTGCTCTGCGAGGCGGCGTCCGCACTAGCGTAAGGGTCCTGCATGCGTCCCTTCGTCTCGACTCCGCTGATCCTCGAACCAGGTTCGCTGTGAAGAGCTGGGGCGCGCCACCCAAGAGCCTAGGTAGGTGCGGATCGGCAAGAGCGCAATCGATCTTTTTGCCCTCTATCACCTTGGGTTGTAAGAACTTGAAACACACCACGCAGGGGCACAGCAAGCACGGATAGCCGTTGAGGAGAAAGGGCGTAAGGTGTATGCGCAGCCACGGCCGTGCCGCGGTGGGCGCGCCACCTCCCGCGAGCGCGGCGGGATCGGAATTGCGGCCGGAGGGAAGGGCGAGCCGCCGCCGCCGCCGCCATATACCATCAGCGACGACGACCGCGGCTCGCCCCAAACGCCAGGCGCTGGATCGGCAGTAGGGCTTGGGCGGCGCAGCGTAGGCCTCGAGCCACACGAGTCGCCGACAACCCCCCCTCATCGACGTGATGGCCGCTCTCACTGCCGGCCGATGCAAGCTGCCGCCTCCACCGCACCAGCGATACTGGCCGCGGCTCGCCGCCACGCGCCGGCTCGGAAGAGGGGCTGTCGGCAGCGCAGCAGAGCGGCATGCGTCGTCATTCGAGCAGCACCAGGTCCCCTCTTCGACGTGACGGCCGCTCCCGGAGCCGGCCGGTGCGCGCCCGACCCACGCCCCCTCTCGCACCCCCCCGATCCCCCTGCGCGGCGCCCCCTCCACTGCGCGCCGGCTCGAGCGCCTATTGCCAAATCGCGACTTTCGAGCGCAGTGCGTGCGCCCCACACGTCACGCGAGCGCAGGAGAGTTTGCGGCAGAGCAGTACCGTGTACTAGCCGGAGGCATCGCGCCGAAAACCCCGCGCATTCCGCCCCAACAGAGGCTGCAGGAGGCAGATGGCCAATAGCGACGATCGTTACGAAATGTTGCGGGACCGGGAGCTCTCCAAGCTGTCTTGGGTGGTCAAAGAATTTTTCCCCGTATCGGACCGAAGGTCCTCTTCAGTGTGGAAGAAGCGACAAGGGAAAGAACGACGAGAAGGGGGCGACCGCGAGGTGGCATGAAGGTCGCAGCGAGAATCGGCGAGAGACTGCGAAGGCGTATAAGGACAACCCGGACCCAAGACGCACAAGCTTTGTTATTATTGTTAGTTAGTTAGGAAGGTGAAGAACACAGCGGACTGGGGGTGGACGCGAGAAGCTTGAGAGGCCTTCCCGAGAAATCGCGCGCGCCGCGAAGGCACTCGGAACACTGAACGACCACCCCCATTCATGCTCCCTCTACTCTCGCCCGTCGCCGCCTCGCTTTTGTATCGCCTCCCTCGACGGCACGCCTCTCCCGCTCAACCACCCACCGCTGCGCTCTCGTCCGCCGGCGGACGCGGCGAGTGTGGACTGGCACGCCGTCAAGAGCGACCTGCTCGACCTCTTCTCGCGCTCTCAGTCCGTCTGGCCGGCGGACTACGGCACCTACGCTCCCTTTTTTGTGCGCCTCGCTTGGCACAATAGTGGCAGCTACCGCGTCGCCGATGGGCGCGGCGGCGCCGAGGGCGGCCGGCAGCGCTTCGACCCTGAGCGCTCTTGGCAGGACAACACCAATTTGGATAAGGCGAGGAACCTGCTCGCCCCGCTCAAGCTCAAGCACGGCCCCGCGCTGTCCTGGGGCGACTTGTTCATCCTCTCTGGCACCGTCGCGATCGAGGCGATGGGCGGGCCCGTCCTCGGCTTTTGCGGCGGCAGGATCGATGACCAGGACGGCTCCGACTCCCTCGCGCTCGGCCCTTCGCCCGAGCAGCGATCCTTCCACCCGTGCCCCGTCAACGGCAACTGCACGCCGCCGCTCGGCGCGGTTGCCGTGGGCGAAACTAAGAGCCTGATCTACGTCGACCCGGAGGGCCACATGGGGGTGAGCTCTTGCCATGCTAGCTCTTGCCATGCTAGCTGTGTCACCTTGGAGCCGTCATGGACACGCTGCCCCTTCGCACTCGCTGCCCCTCCCGACTCGCTGCTCCTCCGACACCGCCTCGAATCCCGCCCGACACCGCCTCGAATCCCGCCTCCAGGTGCCGGACCCGGTCCGCTCGGCGGCCGACGTGCGATGGACCTTTGCGGGCATGGCCATGAACGACACAGAGACGGTTGCGCTCATCGGCGGCGGGCACGCGTTTGGCAAGACGCATGGAGCGTGCCCTGCCGGCGCGGGCGCTCTCCCGCGCGACGACCCGGCCAACCCGTGGCCGGGCCTCTGCGGCTCTGGCCGCGCCGCCGACGCCTTCACCTCGGGCATCGAGGGCCCGTGGACCACGCGGCCAACGCGGTGGGACAACGAGTACTTCCACAACGTGCTGCGTGCTGGGTGGGAGAAGCACCGCGGGCCGGGAGGCGCGTGGCAGTGGAGGAGCGCGCCGCCTGGCGAGGACCCTCCCCGCTCGCCTGGCCCTCGGCTCCTCTCGGCTCACCTCCACGCGGTTGTGCCATCTCGGCAGGCTCGCGGCAGGAGAGGAGCCGCTGCTTGCCCCGTCCGCCTTCCCGGAGCAGACCAGCGCGCCGACCCAGCGCGTGGTGATGATGACGTCGGATTTGGCCCTGGCGTATGACCCGTCCTTCCGCGCCGCCGCCGAGGCGTCTCGCCGCGAGCCCGAGGGTCCGAGATCACACACTAATGGGTACGCTGCACACCCGAGAGATCGCTCGAGACTAGGCGTTCGCCTCGAGCCCCGCGGCTCTCGACAGCGCCTTTGCGGCGGCCTGGTACAAGCTGGTGACGCGGGACATGGGGCCGCACGCGCGCTGTGTCGGGCCATGGGTGCCACCCCCGCAGCCTTTCCAGTTCCCGCTGCCCAAGCCGCCGCCGGAGCCGGTCGATTATGCGGAGGTCTGGGCAGCATTGCACAAAGGCGCGGACCCGCTCCTGCCGGCTGCCGACGCGGCCGCGCTCGCGTACGGTTGCGCGGCCTCGTATCGGTACACAGACAACCAGGGCGGCTGCGACGGCGCTCGCATCCGCTTCTCCCCCGAGGTCGACTTTCCTGCGAACGCTGGCGCACTGGAGGCGATTGGCAAGCTTCGCGGCGTCAAGAAGGCGTTCGGTGCGCGCCTCTCGTGGGCCGATCTCATCACCCTCGCGGGACACGCCGCCGTCGCGCCTCACTCGGGTCCGATGCCGTTTTGCGGCGGCCGCACCGACGCAACCGACGGCGCGGGCTCGCGCTGGCTTCAGCCGCTGTCGGCGCCGTCGTCGGCCGCCTACTTCAAGGAGCACCCGACGGGCCTCACCGCCAGGGAGGTGCTCGCTGTGTGGGCGGCAGCAAGCCGCGCGGTGGCGGCGACGCGCCGGCCGCCGGCCGATTTCTTCCGGTGGGTGGCCCTCGCTACGCCCACCGAGGTGCGCGCGGCCTGGTGGCCCCCGTCACGCACCCCCCGTCACCGCCCGTTTTTTCCTCGCCCCCCCCCCCCCCCCCTTCACCGCCCACTCCTCCCTCGCCAGGTGGCAGAGATGCCCGCCGATCTGCGCGTGGTCCACGACGACGCGGAGCTGCGCGAGGCGGCCCTCGACTTCGCCTCCGACCCGGCCGCGCACAAGGCTCTGCTCGCGAAGGCGTGGCCGCGACTGATGTCTCTTGGCCGATTCGACGGCCCCGCCTCCAGCCCGTGCGACGACCCTGCGGCGACTCTGATGCTTCCGCCGACCGACGCGCCCGCGCCGCGCGCCTCATCCCACTAACTCCGACTGGCCGCAACTTTTGTGTGTATTAGCGCGTCCAAGGCAGGCGTGGTACGCATCTGACCTGGCTTGTTCGTGCGACTCTCCGAGACTCCCGTGGGTGTACAGTACAGCCTCTGTGTATGCAGTATGGTCACGCTGCGCGTCATGGCCGTGATGAGCGGTGAGACCTGAGTCTTCTCCGGTCTCCGCCTTACCCTTACGTACCGCCACCCGTGTATAGAGTATATACCACAGCTGGGGCGCGCGCAAAGCGGCGGCCTTTTCAGCCTTGAGCTCCCATCCGCGCCAGGCCGGCGCGGCGGCGACCCAAGGCGGTTCAGACAAGCTTCCCGTCAAGAAGTGTGGCGCGCCGGCAATGACCGAGGCTGCGGATCCGGGCAGCGACAGCGCGACGGCTCAGGGCCGAGGGAGCGGCAGTGCGGCGGCCGCTGACGGCGTCATGACTCCAAAGGCGGAGCCTCTAATGCGTAATGGGGGGGGCGCTTCGTGATGCGCCACCGACAGACGATGGGTCGCACTAGCACACTACGACGTGATCGCTGACGATTGAGATCATGGCAAGGAGGGGCTTCCCGCATCCCGGAGGGGCGTGGACGGGCGGTGTCCCATGCCGCAGCCGGAAGGACATCTCGCGATGGCCCCATTGCCCCAAGCATGTCCATCTACATATCTGCATGGCGTGTATGGCTCCACTGGTGTGCGTGAAAGTGCGTGTCCGTAGTCGCGAGCCCTAGCCAAGAGATTCAGAGACGTGAGAGATGTGGCGCGAAGAGCCTCTGGTGGCATGTGTGATTTTTAGTGAATGAACCCGATGCTTGAAAGTGAGGTGACTTGTGTCTCTCTAATCTGTGAGTGAAAAAAAGGCCACAAGCACAACGCCCGAACCCGCAACGCGCAACGCGCGCGCCGGAAGACCCACACAATACGCCCCTCCAGCAGGTCCAGCACGCCGCTTCGCCGGCACCGGGACCCCCGGCCCATACGCCATGGCCCGGCCATGCCGCTTGCCGGTGCCGGTACCGGTGTCGGTGACCACTGACCTGACGGTTCCGTTAGTCTAGTTGCCGGTCGTCTACGTGATGCTGATGCGTGACTGGCGCGATGGCACGAGCACGAGCACGAACGGGGTCAGTACGGGGTCGGGGAAGGACGACTTCTCTCATCACTGAACGCCGAAAGAAGCGATTTCTTGCCGTCCAAGATCCGGTTGACGCGGTTGATGTAGCCGAAGATGGGCGCTTGATCCATCTTCTCGAGCATGGCCTGGCGAAAGTCGACGGGGTGCCAGATTCGAATGAGACGCGTTACGAGGACCATCAGCGGAAGAGCGAAGGCGAAGAAGAAGCCGTAAAATAGAGCTGCGCCTTCAAGAGCGGCACCGATCGCTGGAAAGATGCTTTCGGCAAGAAGCACTCCTGTGAGCTTCCGCAGCTCGAGAAAGCTGGTCCCCTCGTCAAGGCAGTTGAAGTAGCACTTCTTATGCTCGGCATTATCGGCGTCGAGGCTCTTGTACAGCGATGTGCACTCTCGCATGCAGACCGCACCGTGGAGTCCCATGGTACGCTCCACGAATTTTCGCACGTTTAGAACCTGTCTGGATTTCAGGAGGCCCACGGGCACAGCGAGTGAGGCCAACATTGCGAGCGCGGCGAAGATTGCCACGGCTGCATTGAGGCAAACCCGCACAGTGCGCAGGCGCCTTTTGTCACACTGGTTCACCAGCTTGAGAGCGAGCGCGACCGCCTCGGCCTCGGTACTCTTCTTCTTCTTCAGCTTCGCAAGATCCTCACCCGATGCGTCTGGCAGAAGGAGGCTCAGCCTATCATCAAGGCTTACGCGGCTTTCCCGCGGTACGGTGATGCTGCCGCCTCGAAGCGCGAGAAAACCACCTCCTTGCACACGTGCGGTGCCGAAGCGCGGTCGGTACTGATCAACTGCCTGGTGCGATGAGCCGACCGCGATCATCACGAGGAGCGCGTCGCGCCAGCCCATGGTGATAAGCGGCGAGCGAGCGAGCAGCGACGCGACCGACTCGTTTGACTCGATTGGCCGTGTCCTATTGGCCGTGTGACAACCATGACACTGTGACCCGTTTCGCGCGGCATGTTTTCTTGTTTGTGTAAAAACAGCGCCGATCTCTGTTCATCTCTACCCCTACTATCGGTCTTCGCTTAGGCAGACGATGTGAACACATACACGGCGGTGCAGGCGAGGATAAAGGTTTGGGAGAAGATTGAGATTGTGTGCAGTGTGGAAAGTGGTAAAGGACGTACGTGCAACGGCGAACGAGCGCCGGCCGCCGGCGCCGGGCCAGTTTGTGACAGGGCAGGTCATGAATAAGCAAAGTGGCAGCGATGACCAGCGCAGGAGGTACATATGGGAGCGGAAGGGCCAACAGCAATATGATGCCTGCCTGCTCGTGATGAGCACATATATGCAGCAGAAGGCGCCAGCCAGCCAGTGGCGCCTGCACTGACAGTAGTGAGGTAACATCTAGACGATCGCAAAAGGGCAGGAATCGCTTTCCCTCATCTCGGCGCCTGATGAGTCATCAACTGCCGCATGCAACCCGCCAGGTCACAACTGGTACCGCTCCAGTGGGAAGGGCTGCGAAGTCCTCCGACGGCTCGAAGAGCCCATTCAGGATTCTAGTTTGCGCTTGTCATTGCGGCAAGTGCACGAGATCGGCCCTCTGTCACGAGCCGCGATGTCCGCGCTCGCAGACGACTCGTACCTGACCACCATCGCGCACGTCATCGGCCGCCTGTGCGACTGCAACAGGCACCGATCCCCGCGCCATTTTGCGGCACCGCCCCTCGCGCGGCGCACCTTTTTTACGCCGGCGCTGCTTGTGCACACAGGGATCTGCGGGCAACCTCTCCGACGTCGTTTGACTCCGTCGAGGCGCCATGCATGTCCGTGCACTCCTACCTGCAGCGCATCCGCCGCTACACCCGCTTCGACGACATGTGCTTCCTCATTGCCCTCGCGTACCTAGGCAGGATCGCTCAGGCAGGTGGCCCGTCTCTATGCCTGACGCATCACAACGTGCACCGGCTACTCGTGACCGCGCTGGTCCTCGCCTCCAAGTCGTCCGATGACGTCTTCCACGCCAATTCGTTCATGGCGCAATGCGGCGGTGAGGCACCCCCGGCACAGCGCGCTCGCACCTCGCCTCGGATGGGGGGTGAGGGCTCTCCTCCGACAGCACATATCCTCCCGCAGGGATCTCGGTCGGCGAGCTCAACGCGCTCGAGATTGAGTTTTGCAAGTGGCTCACCTTCCGCCTCATCCCCGACAAGGAGGAGATGCGCGCGCTGGTGAGTGGCACTCCAGCATCCGCCCCCCTCCTCCCGCGCCGTCACCGCCGCGGCGCCCACGCCCGCGACTGTGCCCTGTGAGATGTGCCAACGGCTCGCCTGCCCGCAGGTCTGCGCCCTTGGCGACGCGTCGGACCCCTTCTGGAAAGGGTGGGTCAACTTGGAGCAGGACGCGCCGGAGGCTGTCGTGCCGCCCCTTGCCGCTATCCACGCGGCTCGCGTCGAGTACCCCGCGGCCGCCGTCGCGAAGCCGCGCTTGGGTGCGTTTTCGTCGTCGCTGCACGAGCTGTGCGCTTTCCTAGATGCGCTGCCGCCCCTCTCCTGGATTCGCCGATCCACGCCTCCCGTCTCCACTCCATAGGTCCTCGCTGCTCTGGTCGCCGATGGCAGTGCAGGCGCCACCGCTAGGCGGGGAGCCGGAGACCATCGCGTCGCTGCTGGCCAAGCCGGTGTGGAGCACCGAGTCGCCAAAATCGATCACGTGGAAAGCAGAGAGCGAGCGCCCGTGGGGCGGCAAGCCGCAGCAGCCGCAGCCGCCGCAGCCGCCGCAGCCGCCGCAGAAGCCGCAACCACAGCGGTGGGGCAGCAAGCTAGAGCAGACGCCGCGGCAGCGGCTCCAGCAGCAGCAGCCGCCGCAGCCGCCGCCGCCGCCGCAGCAGCAGTCTCAGAAGCAGTCGCAGCAGCCAGGATGGTGTTTGTACCAGCCGCAGCTGGTGTCGCATGCAGTGGCGCCGCACCCGACCCACCCGCCTCCCCACCCGCCGGAGGCTATGCATGCTTGGGGCAGGGAGCAGCATATCGGGGGAGGCATGGAGCAGCATATCGAGGCGCGGTGCGGCTCGGCCACGCGGATGACTGTCAGGTGACGGCCGCGTCCGCCGCATCTCTAAAGAGTTGCGAGCGAGCGAAACGACCGGCAGGGGCCCACTAGGGGGGCCATGGGGCGGGGGGCCGACCCCAGAGGCGGCAGAGCACAGCGCCGCTATTTATCCCGATGTGTAATCAAGAAGAAGAAAATGTACCGCGTAAACTACAAACACTATCTCTCGGTGTCTCGCGCCAGCGAACGCGCGCGGTTCGCGCGCGCAAGAACAGACTCTGGCAAAATTCGCTGAGATATCAGATAAAGAGCGGTTATCGAAAGTGAAAGGTGGGGAACGATTCATCCCGCGCCCCTCGCCGCGAGAAGCGCAGCCCCATAGGCGGCGTCGATATTGGCCGCCCGCGACGTGGGCACGCCGAGCAGGGCCTGGCGCATCACCGTCCACTGCGCATTCTGCGACCCGCCGCCACTCGTGAGCACGCGCCGCAACTCGGACGCGCCTACAGGGAAAACGGCCAGCGGGTGAACGACGACACCTGGGCAAAACGCAAACCATAGCCCCGAAATGCCCAGCGCCGCCAGAGCTTCGTAGCCCTCCGTCTCCACCTACAGCCAACGTGCAATTGACGTGCAACCGACATATGGACGAACGGCACCCCCGCCTGCCGCCTGCCTTAGCGATGCCGTGCAAAATGCAGTGTAGGAAGGCGGCACGGCTCTCAGGCACCGGCTCGAGCACACCCACCGCATTCTCGTCGGGCCGCGGAAACCGCTCGCCTAGCACGGGGCGTCGCCGTTGAGGCCACGGCGGCCGCGCCGGGGCGTGGAGGGCGAGCGAGGGGTGTATTCCGACAACGAGCGACGAAAGTGGGTAGTAGTCAGTGCACGGAGGTTGCGCCAACGGATCAATCTCCTCGGACAAGCGCGCGAGCTCGTCGCCACTGAAGCCTTGCTCGCGCAACACTGCACAGCCGGCGTTCGATGCGCCGCCGACCAACCAGCGATCGCCCAACCGATGCGAGTACACGCCGGTGGACGCGTCGTCGGCAGGGACGTCCGAGAGCAGCCTAGGGTGCGGAGAACGGGGGGGGGGGGGGGGGGGGATTTACAGCCTCCAACTGGACACGCCGGGGCAGAGAGGCATGTCCAGCCCCCCAATGGCCCGCCGCTGACGTCCTCTCTAGGCGGTGGGTGGGCGCGCCACAAACCAAGTTTAGCCAGCCCAAAGAAGGCGACTCCTTTGCCGCTCAAACTGCACGACTAGCAGCTGTTGCCTTGGCCATGTGCGTTGCCAGTGCCGCAGAGCTGCGGAAAACCGCGACATGTCCCGCATCTAGGGAGAGCCGCTTGATGGCGACCGTCGAGCCGAGCGACGTGACCGCGTCACCGACGGAGTCGGCGCCGGCTGCAAGGAAAGCGGCGATCGAGTCGGTCGTGCCTCCAACGACGAGGCAGCCGCTGGCCAACCCGTACCTTGAGGGCAGAGGCGTGTTTCGGCCGTGCGGTCGCCCTCCACGCTATCGTGCGCGGGCTGACGGACGCACTTGGCCACCAGCTTGTCGCTCACCGGTCCAATCGGCTCTCCCGGCCGCACTACACGGGGAAGGCGGCCCCTTGCGATCTCGCCAATCTCGCCGCCCGTGAGCCACTCCGGGTAGCGGAGCGCGCGGACGTCGAAACCGAGCTTGAGCGCGTTGTGCCAGTCGGAGGCGATGGCTCCTCCGGTCAGGCGCGAGGCGACGTAGTCCGCCTGTTTCATGGACCGTGCTCGGAGAGTTGTGTGTTGTTGTGTGTGGGTGTGAGAGAGAGAAAGGTTTGTGTAATTGTGCTGTGCTGTGTCCTAAGACGACGGCCACCTGGTGAGCGAGCCGCTCGGATCCAGCCAGCGGCGACTCAAAGTGGTACGCGAGCAGCTTCGCGAGCGCTGAGGTGGCTGAGCGAACCGGGTGGCCTATGTGGCAGTCTCCCACCATCCTCAAGCCAAGCCGGAGCAGCCGTCCGCCAGAGCTGGGGCGGCCTTCGGGCGTGCAGCGGCGCAGCAGCGCCAGAGCAGCCTCGCCGCTATCGCCGACGGCCTGCTTGCTTACCGAGAAGTCATACATCCGTGGGCTGCCGCGGCTGGCGGCGGGTGCCCCGTCGCCGTCGACAAGAAGCATCGACCCACTCGTGCCACTCACCGCGATGCGGCTCACGCGAGCGCGGGCGTCGGCAGGCAGCGCTGCCAGCTGCGAGAACAGCGCCTCCTCCCAATCCGACGCCTCCTGCGCGCGCTCGCCCGCTACGCCCCAGGAATAGCCGGGCGGGTTCGCAACGATCTCGCCCGACGCATCGACGATAGCGCAGCGCACACCGCTCGTGCCAAAGTCGTAACCGAGAGCGCACGCGTTGCCAGTAATCGGCGGCAGAGTCCGTGGCGGCGTCGGTGCGATGGAGTCTTTGCGCAGGT